TGGTCTGCCCGGCAGTTCCCCTGGGTGGCCGCGGCCTGGCAGGCCCGCATGGAGAGCCCTGCCGACGTGAAGGAGCTCATCCCAGAGTTCTTCTACTTCCCCGACTTCCTGGAGAACCAGAACGGTAGGCGCCAGGCGCCAGCGTGGGCAGGGGCACAGGCCCGGTGGCGAGGCGGGCACGGGGACAGCTGACCCAGTCCTCTGCTCTGTGCAGGCTTCGACCTAGGCTGTCTCCAGCTGTCCAATGAGAAGGTGGGGGACGTGGTGCTGCCCCCGTGGGCCAGCTCTCCCGAGGACTTCATCCAGCAGCACCGCCGGGCTCTGGTGAGGTGACACGCCATGGGCGGCAGCCAGGCCAGAGGGTCCTGGCGGGGTCAGCGTCCTGGCCTGACTGTCCCTCCCTCCAGGAGTCAGAGCACGTGTCTGCCCACCTGCATGAGTGGATCGACCTCATCTTCGGCTATAAGCAGCGGGGGCCGGCGGCAGAGGAGGCCCTCAACGTCTTCTACTACTGCACATACGAGGGTGGGCAGTGGGCCCAGTGCCGGGGGCAGGGCACAGGGCACAGGGCACGCAGGGCCTTCTCACTGCTCTGCCTACCCGCCCAGGGGCCGTAGACCTGGACCACGTGGCGGACGAGAGGGAGCGGAAGGCTCTGGAGGGCATCATCAGCAACTTCGGGCAGACTCCGTGTCAACTGCTGAAGGTAAGGCCGGCATGGAGCGCGTGACTGGGGTGTCCGTGGCGGTGCTGACCAGCCCTTTGCCCACAGGAGCCACACCCACCCCGGCTCTCCGCTGAGGAGGCCGCCCACCGTCTGGCTCGTCTGGACACTAGCTCACCGAGCATCTTCCAGCACCTGGACCAGCTCAAGGCCTTCTTTGCAGAGGTGAAAGGAGGGCAGGGCCTCGACTTCCCGTCCTGTAAAATGGGTTTAACCCCCCTGTCTTCATCAGTCTTTGGGGGCTAGAGACAATACTAAATCAGTCACTGATTTAACGGCATCTTTGGGCCAGCCTGGCAGCCCAGTGGTCTCACATGGCCAACTGTGGTTCAAATTTCAGCCCCAGTGGCATGGAACACACAGTAGGCATGTGTGTGCGTGTGCACAACATCCTGACAGGAGTGAGAAACGGAGAAGGGATTGCAGGGTGGCCACGCCCCACCGGGGAGTGCGCCTCTCCTCCCACATCAGCGTGCGCTGGCAATAAAAACACAAAGTAAAAAGTACACTGGGGCCCAGTGGGTGGCATGGCATGAAGGTTAGGCACTGGACCCCATATGGCCAGCTTTGTGGTTCAGGTCCTGCACCAGCGACTTGAGAATCATGCCGGGTGTGTGTGCACACGTGCGTGCCCCAAATCCCCAGAGGAGTAGAGGTGAAGGGCTCGTGGTGTTCCCATCCCCCTGGAGGCTGATTTCTCACTTTCTCTCTCTGGAGAGTGCATGGACCTTATAACAAAAGCAAATAAAAAATAGAGGGACCAGCAGTTAGTGTAATGGCTATGTTGCTGGACTCCCATGTAGTCGACCTTGGTTTGAGTCCCGGACCCAGTGGCTTAGACTCATGCCGGGTGCATGTGCATGCGTGCTCAGATCCTGAAAGGAGAATGGAAAAGGGATTGCGGCGTGGCCATCCCCCTGGGGGTGATTTCTCGCTTTCTGTCTCTCTGTCTCTCTGTGTCTTTCTGGTAAGTGCATGCGCCCTATAGCGAAAACCTCTCCCCCCAAAAAAAGAAAAATGAAAAAAGAAAATAGAGGCCCCCTGGAAAACAAGCTAACTGTGGGAGCAGTGCGGGGCAGGAGCGCTGCGGTCTTCCCGGGGCCCCCTGACACCCTCTGACGTCAGAGATCAGGAGGAGGGCCTCGGACACCCTGCCCTGTCCTGCCTGCATCCCGCGTGTTGCCCCCAGGCCTGGCTCTTCAACAGGCTCCCCTCGCCACTGGGCTGGGGGCACGTGGAGTAATGGGGTAGGAGGGCCCAGGCTGACACCAACCTCGAGGTCTGGGGCGAGTGACTCTGGAAGGATCTTCCGTGTCCCTGCCAGCTTCTCGTTCCTTTCCAAGATGCCTCCCCGAAAGCCCACTGCTCTCATGCCTGGTGTTTGGGGGGTGCCTAGTCTGTGACCCCTGTGGCTGAAGGCAAGGGAAGGGGTGGTACCCCAGGGGTCCAACCAGCACCACCCTCACCCCACAGGTGGTCAGTGAAGGTGCACCCCTGGTGCTGGCCCTGGTCCCTCACCGGCAGCCCCACTCCTTCATCACCCAGGGCTCCCCAGACCTGTTGGTAAGTGCACTGGGTGGGGCCCTACCTTAGTTCCAACCCTCTCCATCTCTGCTCCAAATGCACCCCTGCGCCCTCCTCCCGCAGGTGACCGTGAGTGCCAGTGGGCTGCTGGGCACCCACAGCTGGCTGCCCTATGACCGCAACATAAGCAACTACTTCAGCTTCAGCAAAGACCCCACCTTGGGCAGCCCCAAGTAGGACAGAGGGCTGTGGGGGGTGGGCTCCTCATGCCCTGCCCCTCAGCATATGGGCCAGCCACAGGGGGGAACCCAGGTCTTGTCCACGTGGCCTGGTCTCACTTGCCCCC